AATTGAATGCTGTTCAAGTTCATATCATATTTGGATTGAAAAATCTAACCTCAAAAAAGTTATGTTCCAAACTACTCGGTACGAACCGTGTAGCTAGCGCCCTCTATGAGAGTCAGATATAAAAAAAATTCATGCGATGTGTCAGATTTCAAGAAACAGCCATGCAAAATTTCATTACAATGTTGCCAGTAGTTTCGGAATAATCGTGAAAAATGTGTGAAACAATAATTTTTTCAACACCTTGTATCATGAAAACGGACGCCGTTACGACATTTTTTCACTGAGCAAACCCAACTTATTTTGCAATGTTTTACCTACCCTAGCAAGGGGGTTAGGTTTTTTAAGCACCCTGTATATGTATATAAAAAAAAACACTTACCATCTTGAAGAAAAAACGACAACGTGTATGTCCAATGGCAAGAAACTTCATTGTTGCATAACAAATCACCTCACCCACACACAACCCATAACCTCACACACACACAATTGCATTATAATCACTAAACTGAAAAATAAATTCTGATTTCTCACTTATCATGAATTGAATAATAGTTCTTTTATGAACCACTTCAATCGACCGTACCCGACGAAATCTGGTATGTGACTGATATATTGCTTGATTCACCCGATTCACCCTAATGACTAATCAGTTATGTCTTCGTTTAACAATAAATTTTCGAGCAAGTTTATTATCTATGACTAAACATGTGACGCTATGGGGAAAGTGAAAAAGAATTTGGTATAGCGGGTGACACGTTATAAAGTAACACCACTCGTAACACTCCCTCTGTAACTGTTTTATTGTTGACAGTAGAAAAAAATGAAAAAACACATTCACAGTTTTTTTCTTCTGTCTAGAAACACATGATACGTTTCCACTACCTTTTCATGTCCTGAGGACACTGTAATTTTTTTGATTTGAAATATTCATTTTTTTCACCTTAATTTTACTTAATATCGGAAAAACACCCTAATTTTCAATCGAAAACTCTCACGTCAAAATATCAGCTTTTTAAAAAAAACTCGGGGCGTTTTTTGTGAAATCTCTTCTTTCTGGTAATGTAAAAAAATATACACATCACTATAGTAAATGTTCTTAGACAGAAAAGCATGGAAAAGAAAAAACTCGAATCCGAATTTTTTTTAATCACTATACAGTGTGTCCCACTTACCATGCTCACCATGGGTATCTTTTTAACGGTGAGAGATACGAGGTCGGTTGAATGACACCAAATGTGGAGTTTGTCAAGGTCAACTATAATGTGAAAAAATATTTTGATAAAATCTATTCGTTTTTGTTTTATACGCAAAAAACAGATTTTGATCATTTTCATGTCTTCTCCGTAACTTCTTTATTTATAAAAATATTCAAATAGGAATTTCACATTCTCATGGCAGTTTTTCAAAGTAAATTCGAAAAGCATATGGAATTTATACCAACTCTTCTAGAATTTGAGATATCAGCACCAACTTTAGTTTTTCAAATGTAGGTCATAGCTCACTATGACTTAGTTACAAATAACTTTTTTTTGTCTTACAGATGATATGTCGCAGTAATAGTTTCGTGTTGATAACAACGGAGTTATCGTCATTTATACAAAAACAAAAAAATATTTGGAAGCCGCCATCTTGAATTTATAAATTTTAACAAGAAAATCATGATCTCCGACTTCAAAAACCCCCACTTACCAATTTTGAATGGAATCGGACCAAATCTTGTCCGCCATCAATTAAAAAAAATGGCTGCTACTGGCGGACAAGATTTGGTCCGATTCCAAAATTGGTAAGTGGGGGTTCTTGAGGTCACAGATCATGATTTTTTTGTTAAAATTTATAAATTCAAGATCGAGTTCAAGATGGTGGCTCCCAAATAATCTTTTATTTTGTATAGATGACGATAACTCCGTTGTTATCAACACAAAACTATTACTGCGACATATCATCTGTGAGAGAAAAAAAAGTTATTTGTAACTAAGTCATAGTGAGCTATGACTTACATTTGAAAAACATAAGTTGGTGCTGATATCTCAAATTCTAGAAGAGTTGGTATGAATTTCAAATTTTTCTCGAAATCACTTTGAAAAACTGCCATGAGAATGTGAAATTCCCATTTGAATATTTTCATAAATAATGAAGTTACGGAGGAGACATGAAAATTATCAAAATCTGTTTTTTGCGTATAAAACAAAAACGAATAGATTTAATCGAAATATTTTTTCACATTATAGTTGGCCTTGACAAACTCCACATTTGGTGTCATTTAACCGACCTCGTATCTCTCACCGTTAAAAAGATACCCATGGTGAGCATGGTAAGTGGGACACACTGTATACAATTTTGTAAAAACTTCACAAACGATAAGATTTCCACAAAATTTTGTGGAAATCTTATCGTTTGTGTAGTTTTTACATTTGCCATGGATTTCCATCAAATAACGGCCGAGTCAATTCAAAAAATGTACAATTTTGAGCTATTTAGTGAAATTTACACTTTAATTACATAAAGATTGCAAGGAACATGCGAAAATAATTGTTCTAAATATTAAAGATAGGATTTGAAGGAAGTTAGTGATTCAGATGGAATTGTGGATGAAGGACCAATTCAGACTAAAAATAATATTGGATACGAAGACGGTGATGGTCTTGAAGATTTCAAAGATCTACTAGAATCGGGAAGGTTTGTCGAATCTAACGATGAAGAAATGCCACCGAAGAGGCAAAGAGTAATGAATTATCGATTAGGGTTCAAGATAAGATTTATAAATAAGAAGATAAATGCATTTAAAAATATTATTATGAATAATAATGATCAGTATGAAGTATCTAAATTCAATAGTACGATTTACATTTCTATATTCATATATTATGAGACTTTTCATGACATAAATGTAATTATAATTTGATAAATCAACTTTTTGACAAAAAAAATTGCAGCAATCACATTTTTTTATTGAAATCCCTCCTTTTGATCGTATCTTTAATATTAAGAACAACTATTTTCGCATGTTTCTTGCAATCTTCATGATTTATGGATTTGTAATTTTTTGTTCATCAATGTAACATAGAATCTTACGTTTCCAAAAGTAATGAAAGTGAAAATTTCACAAAATAGCTCGAAATTGTACATAGTGATCAAAAATAAATTCGCATTCGAGTTTTTTCTTTTCTCTGCATTTTCTGAGAACATTTACCATAGTAATGTATATATTTTCTCACATTATTAGGGAGAAGAGATTTCAACGAACAAAAAACGCCCCGAGTTTTTTTGAAAAGCTGATATTTTGACGTGAGAATTTTCGATTGAAAATTAGGTTGTTTTTTCGATATTAAGTCAATATAAGGTGAAAAAATGAATATTTAGAATCAAAAAAATTACAGTGTCTTTAGGACATGAAAAGGTATGTTTTGACCAAATTTCGTGAAAATGACATTTTTTTGCAGAAGATAAAAATAAAAAACCAAAAACTTGATTTTTAGAATTTTTCACATAAATTTTGAGGTTATGTGAAAAAAGTGTGTTTACAAAAGTTGTAGGTCTCTTTATTACCTACAACTTTATTGCTATTCAACTTTTTTCCATAGGGCTCGTAGTTTTGCTGGAAATCAAGATAAACCGTTTTTTACCCTTGAAATCTCACCCCCTACCCCTTCCTTCAGATCGCCCGTAATTTATTTTCCCTTTTATCTTTAATATATTCTCTTCCTTTATCAATGAGTTTCCTCCTACTACGATTTTTCTTCACATTTTACCGTTTTCAAAGGCTTCAGCACTGGTCTATGGTGGCTGAGCGCTCCCATCAATGGTGCATTGAAATTAGTTGCCGCTTTAGCACTTCTAAAGGGTGCCGTACATTATGCTATTTCTCGGCAAGTTTGAGGCAATGGAATTTTCTCGCAATTTTCAATGATTTAATCGCCGGTAATGTGTATTACGGCCGGCTGGCGGCAGCCTGGACACCTCGATGCCGGGAAAGTACATGAACTGCCGGGAGAGGTGAGCGTTATGAGTGCTGGACCGATGGTTGGTGTTATCTGGGTATAGGTAGTAGTAGAAGTTTATTGAAAAATAGGAAAGCCTAATATACAAACATCTCGAGCATCCATAAAACATTTAACATCACACATATTATATATGTATAAAATTCACAATAGCAATTCATTGTTATAGTTATACAAGACACATATTTAATAGTTATTTATGCAACAAGTGCAAAAAGTGAATGTTTATTGCATTCGACGTGAAATTGTCCGACGAGGCCGTTATGCACGAGTTGCATACAACATTTTTTCTACGTTCATGCAAAAAGCAAAAAATGATTTATTGAGGTGCGGCACTAGGTACAATTCTGTTAATTGTCAGAATTAATTTTTGACTGACGTTTCTATAACCACAGTTGCATTATAGAAAATGTTTGTCATGATGACAGCACGTTGAAGTAGAATGACAGATGAGTGCAATAAAAACTTTATTGCACTAAGTGCAATAAAGAACTTCTTTTTCCACTAAATATAGTTCAATAAAGTTCTGTTTTTTGCATGAATGTAGAAAAAAACCATTAACAATAATACTAAAAACAAAAAAGAAAATTTAACATATAGTCAACAGATAACTAAACAATCAAGCTAATAATACAGAAAACTTAATACAGTTTGAGGACAATATCAAGTAAAGAAACAATTATTGAATATAGGATAATATGTTATAAACATTTCCATACAATACCCACCCGTCCAACATTCATAGAGTTTTAACATACTTCGATAATGATGATTTGAAAGAAGATAAAGATACTGATGATTTTATATGCATAGGTAGTTTGTTGAATTCATTTAACCCTTTGAAAAATAGAGATCTCATGCTCATACTGGAATTCGTTCTGTGAATATGAAAGTCAGTCCTCATTCGTGTGCGATTCACCCATTGCAGTTGTCCTCAAAACCTTCACTTCACGTACCCAGTAAAAAATAATCACTGACTGACTGATTGATCCGCTTTTCCAGAATCATCAGCCACTTCAGAGTCATCATCTTCCAGTTCGAGCAGTTGCTCGGAAAGCGAAAGCAGCGCCCGATCCTCAGGCAACACCCAAAAAGTAAAAAAACCCGTGAAAAAACCGAGCGTGGTCCAAAAAGAAATCGCTCCGAACACCGACTCAGAAAACGAAACAGTCGCGGAAAAAAACAACAAACAAGTCGCTAGTACTAGGAAATTAACAAGGTCGGCTAGCACGCGCAAATCCAAGCACGTTCTCGGCAAAAACGTTTACTCCGACAGCGATTCTGATACCGAGAGCACCAAAAGATCCTTGTCCACTTCTCCAGTGAAAAAAGCCCCAGTTGCTACTAAGGGCAAAACGAAAAACACCAAACGCAATGAAGCTAAGAGCAAGAACGCAGACAATCAAACGGTAGAGGAACGCAAGTGCCCCTTGGAAGAGTGCTCAAGCACAGGCCACTTGAGCGGTAACTACGACAAGCATTTCACCCTCGAAGCTTGCCCCATTTACCACAACACCACACCAGAAAAGTGCAAGCTAGAGATGGAAGAGAGGAAGAAGAGAGAGGAGTTGAGGAAGAAGTCTTTGGAGTTCCACAGGAAAACCCCGAGGCCGCATGCGAACGCTGACCAGAAGCAATTCCTGCAGAAAATCAAGGACATGAGGTCGAAGTTCAAGAGCGAGCCCATCGAGGACGTGAAGCCCATCGTCGGCAATAAAGCCCACCAGCCGGATTTGAGGCATTTCGTCCACGAGTACGACTTGAAGTTGTTCCAGGACGCTCTGGCTTTGGCCAGCGAGAAGATCGAGCAGAATTTGAAGAGTTTGCCCAGCACTAAAGGTGAGAATCAATAGTGCGTGAGACCTTTGATTATTTACATTAACAAGATAAACCATCCTTATGAGAGCAATAAAGCCAGGAATACGGTTCAGTAGGTGGCGGTATCTATGAGCGTTGAGTAGCTGAGGGTAGAGCTCGGTTATGCAGAATATATTCGTTATTCTTAGATGTTTTTATGCAAGCAGGGATGTCGCATCAGGGCCAAAAATATTTGTATTATTTAAAAGTCAGAATATCTAAGTTAGTGATTTTCCTGCTTTGGAAAGAAGAATATTCTTAGATAGTTAAGCAACTAGATATATATATATATATAGTTTAAGAGAAGGGTAGTCTATGACTGACTAGTTTAGGTAAAATACTAGTGATTTAGAAACAAACACTGTGGTTCAATTCTTCATAGGGTTGCAGTCAAAATTTTAGGCATCAAATAAGTGAACTCTTCGTTATTTAGCCGAGCTTTCGGAAATGTTTATTTCCTTTTTCAAGACATCTATAAGAAAAATGGTATGCATAAAAAACAACATCAAACTCATAAGAAACTAAGTACTTACTTAACATGAGATTGGTTTAACGTTGGAACAATTAAAGAACAGACGATTCATTTGCTGAATTTGTTACACAAACTGGAATACATTAGGATTTGTAAAACGTAGAAAACAATTTAAAAAACAGTAAACCACCGGTGCTTTTTCATAGTCGACTTCGATATCTCCACAAGATGGAAGCTAACAAACGGCCACAGATGATACAAATAATACGGAAAGAGCCGAATCGATTTCGATATCGATTACGAAAAGGTACGGATGGTGGGAAATTTGAATTGATAATTGGGTGGTGAGCCAACTTATTATTGAGGATTTGTTATTGATAATCTGGAAATATTGTTAGGAATACAGTTCATTTGTTCAATTTTAAGTAGATAATTATAAATGTTGCTAAGATTGTCGATATCGGACTTTTTATTCATACTATATGATTCATTATTAATGTGAACCATTTCCAAGAAAGTGCGCTTCAAATAACTATTTTCATGTGCTAAAATTTTGACCTCGTTAAAGTTCATTCTATGGTTTGAATCAATGACGTGTTCAGCTAGTGCACAACGTTTTCTATTACAGTTGCAATCACTTTTGTGTGAAGAAATCCGTCCTGATAAATTTCTCGAAGTTTGACCGATATAAGTCAAGTTGCAATTAAGGCAAGGGATTCTATATATTACATTATTCATTTCTAGTTTATTCATGGGAGTTTTGGTTTTAGAAAAAAGGATCGATACTGTTTTGACTTGTTTTTTTGCAATGATGATATTTTCATGTTTGAAGACATTAGACAATTTTGGAGTTAATTCTGCTATGTATGGTAGTGCTTTGTATTTTGGTAGTACTATAGGAACTGGGTTCCTAGCTGAAACATCATTGATTTCAACAATTCTATCTTGAGAGTTCAATTTAATAATATACTATTCAACTCTCAAGATAGAATTGTTGAAATCAATGATGTTTCAGCTAGGAACCCAGTTCCTATAGTACTACCAAAATACAAAGCACTACCATACATAGCAGAATTAACTCCAAAATTGTCTAATGTCTTCAAACATGAAAATATCATCATTGCAAAAAAACAAGTCAAAACAGTATCGATCCTTTTTTCTAAAACCAAAACTCCCATGAATAAACTAGAAATGAATAATGTAATATATAGAATCCCTTGCCTTAATTGCAACTTGACTTATATCGGTCAAACTTCGAGAAATTTATCAGGACGGATTTCTTCACACAAAAGTGATTGCAACTGTAATAGAAAACGTTGTGCACTAGCTGAACACGTCATTGATTCAAACCATAGAATGAACTTTAACGAGGTCAAAATTTTAGCACATGAAAATAGTTATTTGAAGCGCACTTTCTTGGAAATGGTTCACATTAATAATGAATCATATAGTATGAATAAAAAGTCCGATATCGACAATCTTAGCAACATTTATAATTATCTACTTAAAATTGAACAAATGAACTGTATTCCTAACAATATTTCCAGATTATCAATAACAAATCCTCAATAATAAGTTGGCTCACCACCCAATTATCAATTCAAATTTCCCACCATCCGTACCTTTTCGTAATCGATATCGAAATCGATTCGGCTCTTTCCGTATTATTTGTATCATCTGTGGCCGTTTGTTAGCTTCCATCTTGTGGAGATATCGAAGTCGACTATGAAAAAGCACCGGTGGTTTACTGTTTTTTAAATTGTTTTCTACGTTTTACAAATCCTAATGTATTCCAGTTTGTGTAACAAATTCAGCAAATGAATCGTCTGTTCTTTAATTGTTCCAACGTTAAACCAATCTCATGTTAAGTAAGTACTTAGTTTCTTATGAGTTTGATGTTGTTTTTTATGCATACCATTTTTCTTATAGATGTCTTGAAAAAGGAAATAAACATTTCCGAAAGCTCGGCTAAATAACGAAGAGTTCACTTATTTGATGCCTAAAATTTTGACTGCAACCCTATGAAGAATTGAACCACAGTGTTTGTTTCTAAATCACTAGTATTTTATATATATATATATATATTTGGAATATATAAATCGACCATATTTTGTTGAGTTTTGCTAGCGTCGCCTAACTAAGGCCAAGTTTGGCTTCAACATATTACGAGGAGGAAGTGCTACAAATACTCTTCTGAACTAGCGCCAAAAGCTACTATTTGCTGCACCAGTGAGAAAATTTCATTTTTTTGCACTAGCGAAAAAATTGTCCCTTGCAAACAAAAGAAGTAAGTTTATATTTCCATACTAGTGGGATAAGTAACTGCTTCCTATACCAGGCGTTGAAATTAGTATTTCTCCTAGATTGCCTTGATACAGTCCTATTACCATTGTTAATCGTTAATGTCCTTGTGGTACAAGGTATATTCTAGAAAAAAGTGTACATTTCAAATACAAAGGGGAAAATCAATCTTTTGATATATTTTATATAATATGCCCAAACACCTCTTTGATTTGAATGTGTTCAGGACGATCGGGGCGTAATCTGGGTTCTAGATTCGTGATATTTTGCTCATATTATGATAGGAAAAGGGTATTTTTTAAAACAAGTGGGAAAGAATTCTCTTCTGCACTAGCGTCGGAAGTTTTTATTTTCGGCACTAGTGAGAAAAGTACCTGTTTTCTACACTAGTGAGGAAAGTGTCTATTTTTACGCACTGGTATTACTGTAATTCATTATAAAAAAAAAATGATGACTGTAGAGGAAATGATTATTCTATTACCTAATAGTGGAAGAACAACTCAATTTTTGCCATTTCTTGCAAACATTACTTTCATCATCTAGGGATGGGAAGCTCAGAAATGACATCTTTGACTTGGGCATACTCAGGAGGCTTTGGGCGTGAATTCCACTTGAGTTCTGTGGTGGATTCAGAATATTTTTCATTTTTCGCATGGTATGCTAGAAATACTGCAATTTTTCAATACAATCGATAAGGAATATTACTCTGCACTAGCGTCGTTTTTCATTCACAGCCCTGGTGAGAAAAGTAATTATTATCTGCACTAATAGGGAAAGCAGCTATTTTATGCACTAGTGGGGAAAGCTTCTATTTTCCGCACTAGTGAGAAATGCACTTCTTTCCCGCACTCGTGACAAAAGTTTCGGTTTTCTATGCTAGTGAGAAAAGTTAGGTTCTTCTCTAGTGAGAAAAGTTTCCTCTCCGTACTAGAAAATAAAATTGCTGGTTTTCCTACCGGTAGGGTCACTAAACTACTCTACAAGTACTAGTCTACTACTACTAGTATCACCACTAACATTGCCATTACCTTCGTGGCTAAAACAGGTAGGTAATCACTGTGTTCTCGTTAGGTACGAAATACATAGAGATGGGCAAATTCGACATGGAAGTGTGGTACCAGAGTCCCTACCCGGAGGACTACGCACGCCTGCCCAAACTGTACATTTGCGAGTTCTGTTTGCGCTACATGAAATCGCAAACGATCCTGGATCGGCACGTGGTAAAATGCGTGTGGCGGCACCCACCTGGAGAGGAGGTGTACCGCAAGGATAAGATCAGCGTGTGGGAGGTGGACGGAAAGAGGTGGGTTTTTTTCGTAAATTTATTTTCAGGTGTTTTTGAAAATTTGTGGGGTTAGTAACAAAGTCTACACAGAATACACATGAGCATGGAACGTTGATTTATTTCCTTGGTCTTCACACTGATGCTTTCAATTTCATAATTATTTCGACCGTCATCTGATGATGAAATGATATTTGTTTGGTATTATATCGAACGGCATCTGTACCAATCACTATCCTGATCGAATGATCAGTAAAATAGCATGCGGAAACATAAGAAGTGCATAAATCCATTCAACATTTTGTGCTATCTTCAGATATGTAAGCAGATTTTGTAAATTCAAACATACAGGGTGTTTTTTCGAGGACCCAATAATATGTTGAATTATTGTTAATCCGGGCCTGGAATTTTTTTCTAACGGATATATAAGTCGCTGGGGCAGCAATGGGAAAACACGTCTACCAAATATTGGAAAAATATACCAGGTGGTTCGTATGCTATGAGCCTGGATAGAAATGACCAGAATTGATAAAACACCCTATATCTCGATAATGAAACATGTAAGACCCAACATGTATGGTATTTTCAGAACCACCTTGGTCACTTCTATCCACCGTTAAAGTATTTCCGTTTCCCAACGGAACACTCTGTATACAATTTTTATCAGGTAGTTGGATGGTCATTCATTCAATTAATTAACAAAATGGTTCTGTTTTGTTGAGTAATTCTATAGATTTCTGGTGTCAGGCAAACTGGAACCATTTGAAACTAAAGTATTTCTGGAATGATATGAACTCCCAGGAAACAATAATCTCGAAATCCTATTTTTCTGCAGGTACAAGCAGTACTGTCAGAATTTGTGTTTACTGGCCAAATTCTTCCTGGACCACAAAACCCTCTATTATGACGTAGAACCTTTTTTGTTTTACGTTATGACCATGGTAGACAACGACGGTTGCCACACAGTGGGATACTTCAGTAAGGTAAGGTTTTTAGATTTTTTTTGCGAAAATTGCGATCTTTATGTGTATAAATTTGTATTCAGAAGTGATATCAACAATTTTGTGGATTTTATTTCCTAAACTTTGTGGAGTAGTCTAATATTTCTCCACTGGCTCAGCATTTAGGTAATCTAGTGTATTTTGTGGAAGCGCCATCTCACGTCTTCAATGGAAAATACATTGAAGAGAACTGCCATGAAAATGTGAAAGAAGATTTCTTGTGGTTTTTGGTATTACAGCTTCACATCTTTCCATGAATTTTTACTCGAATATGAAGGAAAGGAACTACCTTCATAACTGAACTACACACATCAGCACAATTAGGGGAACGGACGAAATTTACACTAAGTTTGAAATCAATTTTTTTTCTCATGAACCCATCGCTAGATTAATTTTTTTGTTTCCATGAATTGTAGCTTGATTCTTCACGAACACATCTGACAAATAATCATCCTCAAACGATTCGTCTTCATATCATATACAGGGATGTAAAGAATGTACGGATTTATTTACACTAAGTTAGAATTCAATTTTTTTTCTCATGAACCCATCGCTGGATGAAATTTTTTGTTTCCAAGAATTTTAGATTGATTCTTCATGAATACATCTGATTATTAATCATCCTCAAACGATTCGTTTTCATATCATATACAGGGATGTAAAGAATGTACGAATTTATTTACATTAAGTTTGAATTCAATTTTTTTTCTCATGAGCCCATCGTTAGATTACATATTTTGTTTCCAAGAATTGTAGCTTGATTCTTCACGAACACATCTGACAAATAATCATTCTCAAACGATTCGTCTTCATATCATATACAGAGATGTAAAGAATGTACGTATTTATTTACACTAAGTTTGAATTCAATTTTTTTTCTCATGAACCCATCGCTGGATTACATTTTTTCTTTCCAAGAATTTTAGCTTGATTCTTCACGAATACATCTGACAAATAATCATCCTCAAACGATTCGTCTTCATATCATATACAGGGATGTAAAGAATGTACGGATTTTTCGGTATTTTTCAAGACATCCTGTAGTGTGAACCACTGATAAATGAAACGATTTCTCAACACCAAATTGTGAACCCTTCTAATCTGAATATTTCGAGGTTTTATTCATTTTGATGTCTCAATTATTACAGAATTCATAGTTTTAAATAAAATCTGGATATTGATCTCAATTTTACCATAAGATAATCTTCCTCAAAACATTATTGATAATGTCATCGGAAGCTTGAGGAGACGAATGACTGCTGTAATAAGGGCGCGTGGAGGTCACACGCGTTATTGAAATCATTGTTGTTGTTTTGGATCTTTATTGTTGCTTGAGTTAATGTTATTGTTATTGAATGAAGGCTTTGAGTAAATTACTTTTCTTTTCAATCGCCTCTGTATATTTTCAAGAATTCTTGGCACAATAGACTGATACCTGAAACTGAGAGCAATATTCAACTTGGAGTGGAAATTTTCAAAGAAACAACTTGAGAAATGACACATTTTTGGATCCAATTCGATTTTCGAGGTGACAGAAGGTGATAAGACAAATCTCCACCTCTTCTTTGAAACTCTGTATTATCTTGAATAATGGAGATATCAGTTTAAATAAAAAAAGAAAATGTTCGGAATAAATCAGGCTACAATTTTGTGATACAGACTGTCGTCCTTGATTCACTCCACAGGATGTTTTAAAAAATACCGAAAAATCCGTACTTTCTTTCCACCTCTGTTTATGATATAAAGACGGATCATTCGAAGGTGTTTATTCGTCACCTATGTCACATGTATTCGTAAAGAATCAAGCTACAATTTTTGAAGAAAATAATTGAAATCGAGCGATGGGTTCAAGAGAAAATTGATGTCAAACTGTGCCAGTGTGTATATAAAGGTTTCTTCAACATTTTTCCATGATTATTTGAAAGGGAGTCATTAATCTATGTTTGAACTACAAGTGTAGTGGAAGCAAGCTTAAGCAAGTAAAAACAAAACCATCTCCGCAATTTTATTGTATAGGTCCATCATCAGCAAATATTGAATTCAACAAGGAACATCAAACCTTAAGAATCGCATTTAACATATGTATGTATAAGCATAAGGGCAAAATTGAACTTCAGTGCACATGAAAAAACAAATCAACACCATTTCACCGGACTGCGTGGGTTGAAAAGTATTAATTACATATTGAAACATGACATGGAGGGACAGGTTTCTCAAATAGGGTTCCTGTACCTCAAATAGGGGATACTTTCACATGATACAAGGAAAGTACATGGTAACCTCAAAGCAGAAATTAGTGTGGTAGACTGGCGGCAAAGAGCACACATGACACAGGGCGACAGCTGAAATTAACGTCACCTTGTTGAACCCGTCAATGTCAAAAAACAAGCAATTGATACCGAAACAACTGGAAAGAGCAGCAAGCTTTTATAAAAAAACATTCTTAACGGCAAAATTCTATAAAAATGCACTACACATACAAACACACCCTCTGACAGAGACACTGGTACAGGTGAAACTGAATAAAAACTTTTAATTGTAAAAATATCCGACAAAAAGAGCCCCCCACTAAACAATTTTGAATAGGATCGGATCATAACTACAAAACTCGTTCGCCACATTGGATCGGCCATCTTGTATTTCCCAATTTTTTGACGAAAAATCATAATCTCCGGCCACGAAAACCCCCAGATACAAATTATTTAATAGAATCGGATCATAATTACTAAACTCGTCCTCCATATTGGAGACGTACCTTGAATTTTCCAATTTGACAAAAGAATCATAATTGCCGACCCCAAAAACCCCGAGATAAGAATTTTGAATAGAACCAGATCACAATTAAAAGTCATCCGCCATAGGGAAATCCGCCATTTTGTTTGTTTTTTGTAACGAAAATTTCATTATGCGTCACGAGAATTATGTACACCTGCTGAATATCAAATATCTAACGATTAGAAGTGTGTCAGATTTAAATTTGAAAATTTGATTACACACCTAAAGGTTGCTAGGTTCGAATCCCCGGTAAAGCAGAGAATTTTTATTTATAAAACGAGTTACAAATTTCCTTTCGTGCGCTCCAAGAGATTGAAAATGAAAAAACCTTGGCCGGAGATGATTCCGCACGATTCGCTGTTGTGTTCCAACTATGGACAGTGCTTCTCCTTAGGTGGCGTATGGAGTTAGTAGGTAACAAAGCCTACACAGAACACACATGGGCTGAAAGACCTCTCGTAAGGTCGATGGCCAGTTGGTATGTACCTACATAACAATGAAGTACATACATACAGGGTGACATTCAATATCTTCCTTCCAGTAAATAATATGGAAAATCGGAGTTATCAAGGGTGGGACGTTTTCTAATTGACACGTCATTTTTCGAAAACTGCTCAACAGAAAACTATAAACTAGGATACTGTTGGAAACAGAATTGAATGCCCTTCAAAATGATATACCACTTGACCCTTCCCCCCTTCCTATTTGAGGTTCTAAGGGTAACATCTCCCCTTCCTAGGGGATTGAACCAATAGGGCTAAAAATATCAATTTCTAGTATCCCTCTTGAAAATAAAATTGACCTGTCTTTTCGATTTTTCATATTTCTTACTGGAAGGAAAATATTGTGGGAAGTTTTCAAAATATCACCCTGTATGTATATAAAAGCTTGTGAAAATAGAAAAGGAAGGAAAGCAAACCAGTAGTGAAAGAAGAGATCGAAAAGGAGAAAGAAAGGAAGGTGATCACTTCATATTGATACCGGGAAGGTTGAGAAGGGTAAGAAAAGGAAGAAAAATAATGGATTGAAGAAATAGGAAGAAGAAACGAAATGGGGGGAAAGAATATGAGTAGATTAAAAATATCCATCACTCCCAATAACTTGCCCCATGGAAAAAATCGTTTCAGAATATTTGAGTACTTATTTGATTTTGAAATTTGCAACAGGGTGAAATATTGTGGTGGGCCATTTCATTTGTCGATCAGCTTATTTCTGTTTCTGTTCAGCATGCAGTATGAAGACCTCTGTTATTGTTTCAGTTGGTTTTGGTCTTCTCGTTCATAGATGGCGATAGTATTTTGTTATAAAGTCACTGTAGCATTTACATGAAATATGGTTACATGAAAAAAAAAATCGACCTTGAAAGTTCAATCGGTTTTTACTCAAGGTATACACGATATGAATCCTTTATCACACAAAAATTCGCTGCTCACTGAAAATATATGAAGGTTTTGAATACAGGGTGTTCTACGCATTAATTGGATGAATTTTGACGTCTTGATCGATGTAGAATTTTCACCACACTATATAACTTTGAACATATACAGAGTGATTCTTGACTTGAACGCATAAATTCAGAAAAATTGGGGCTCATGATGAATGATGAATTGACAGGATAATTCCTTTGCATTCATCTCAATTGACACTATTGATAGAATATTCTCTTACCTAATGCTGCTATTCTTCCGACCATATATATATAGCTTAAATATTTATGTAAGGTATGTATTATGATTCAGACTCTGTCATGGATGTAATTACATTATAGATTTTGGTAATTTAACAGTATTCTGCATTAAACTTAAGCCCGTGATGAAATTTCAGGTTTAGTTTGAATAAATACTCATGAAAATGGGCTTTTCTGACGGGTAATAATCTATACAGGGTGGTCCGTTTTTTGATTCAGAAAAGCGTATAGTAGTCGTTGAAGTATTAAAAAACTACCTATGAGCATATACTTTTAAACGCTACGTTTTCGAGATATCGGGTGTTTCAGTTTCTTTAAAAAATTGATTTTTATTGATTTCTAGAAAACGCTATAACCGATTGTGATGAAATTAACATCCATTGTGGAAATATCAATGCGGTATCTTTTGGACCTATTACAGTTAATGAAGTACTTTCAGGAGCGTGCCATGAGTTTATTGCAAAAAAAATAGCAATTTGAGCAAAAGGTTCCTTTGTTTTCTATCGATATTCAACTAATT